AATAAAAAAATAAAATAAATAAATAAATAAATAAAAAGATCAGTTGTTGTCAGGGGCCCAGGGAGAGAGGAGGAGTGAACAGGTGGAGCCCAGAGCATTTTAAGAGCAGTGAAACTCATCTGCATGATACTATAATTGTGGACACATGACATCATGCATTTGCAATTAAAAGCACTGACTTGATTTCTCTCCATGTCTTTTTATTCTATGTTTTATATATAAAAATATATTGAACCCTAATGTAAACTAAGCACTTCAGACAATAATAATATATTAATATTGGTTCATCAGTTGTAACAAATGTGCCATGCTATTTATTGCAAGATGTTAATAATAGCAGAAACTGTGCAGGGGTGAAGGGGGTATATGAGTACTCTCTGTATTTCTGTGTAAACCTAAAACTTCTCTAAAAAATATGAGTATTAAATAAAATTACTAAATTAATAGTGTAGAATCTGTAAAATAACTAAAAGGAGTACTCAAATTTAATGAACATATTGACAACATACTGCTGTTGTTTTTTTCCCCAGTGGGAGAGACGTCTGAGATTTGCCCAGAAGGCACTGACTTTTTGTGCAACAACAAGAAGTGTATTGCATCCCACCTTGTCTGTGACTATAAACCAGACTGCTCTGATAAGTCTGATGAAGCTCACTGCAGTAAGTATGTCTTTTTGATATAAGACAATGAGTTCAGCACAAATTTTAACTTTATTAGTAGAGAAACATATTAGCATTGATGGATTCACATCACCAATAAGTTTTGCTTTCATGAACTACAGTTGATTTCAAATAGCCAAAACATTTTCACAACTTTTCTGTACAAATATCCAAATAACAGCTCTCTCACCCTTTAAACTTGTGGTGCAATAAATTGCTTTTAGATGGCCTTTGTAGCCAAGGTCTTACAACTCCCACAAAATGATTGGCTGGGACTATGCAAATTGAGTGGTTTATGGCCTACCAAGGGGATTGGTCAGTTTCCTATGCAAATTAAATGACTTATGGTCTACTGGGGGATTTGTCATTTCATGGTCCTGGCGGGAGGGCTGTGTCTTAAAATTGACAAGGGGTTTCCTTACATAAGGGCCAATCCCACAGAGGCTAAGGGGGACATTACTACCATCAAGAAGAAGAATCTGGAGCTGAGCACATCCTCTGGACCAAGGACCAGGGTCTCTGGCTCTGAGAACCTCATAGACCAAGAAGAAAAACTGGAACACTGAAGATGGCGAGAGACTGCAGTGTTGGGCCTCCTGGCCCGCAGAGCAAGAGCTGAGTGCCTTTGAGCAGGAGACTTTCCGGCTGAGCTAAAAAAGCTGTAACACTTGCCATGCAGGGCAGAGGTCTGAGTGTGCTTTGTGCATGGGTTGCCTCAGAGGGTCCTGTGCAGGGGTCTTCCTACGGCAGGGTAGAGCCAGATGCTTCTGGGCAGGAGGCTTGCCAACAGAAGTAAAAGAGTTGTAGCACTTGCTTGTGCAAGACAAGAGAGGCATGAGTGTGCAATGTGAAGGAGTTGCACGCCTTCCCCCAGGCAGCGTGGGCTCAGTAGCGTGGCATTAAGAGAGACCCACAAGCCCGAGTAGCGTGGCAGGAGCCAGCAATAGAGGCTTAGAAGGGCCTAGGGGCAGAGGCTCAGGAAACCCTATGCCGGGGTCTTCCTGCATGCAAGGCAAGGCCTAGTGAGGCCCAGCAGCAGAGCAGAAGCCTGAGGCAGTGTGGTGGTAACTGGAGGCAGCAGCGACATGAACACAGCATCTGACCCAAACCACGGCATGCCTGCCCAGTGACATAAGAATGGATATGGGTAATTTGAGGAAAGGTGAACATTTCCCCTTTGGAAATCTGTTGTTATAGTTAATGTTTGCTTTCTATAAATAATAATAATGGCTTTCACTTTGTCAACACTGTGTAACTGTCTCATGTGACTGGCTCGATCACAGATGAACGTAGCACCCGTGGAATGGTTGATACCAGTTGGTGTATGTATCTCATCCCTAGCAGTCTTACAGCTGCCTGAAGTTTGAGGCACAGCCTATCTGCGTGTGCAATGCAGACAGACAGACATACTGAATACTGTAACATATCTATAGCAAACAACATTACCAAAATTGTTCATCATGTAAATGTGCAGAGCTACACATAGGTTAAAGAAGAAGTCTTCAGGAAAATTTTAAAAATATATTTTTAAATAAAAAGGAAAAATATAACTTACCAAAATGTGTGAGATGCACCAAAATCAGAGTACTGGGAAATTTATAGTATTAAATGAATACATTAAAAAAGATGAAAGATTTAAAATCAATAACCTAAGCTTCTACTTCGGAGCCCTAGTGACTCAGTGGTTAAGAGCTCAGCTGCTAACCAAAAGGCCAAAAGTTTGAGTCCACCAGCTCCCCCCTTGGAAACCCTATGGGGCAGTTCTACTCTGTCCTCTGGGGTCGCTTTGATTCAGAATCGACTTGACAGCAACAGGTTTTTTTTTAAGCTTCTACTTTAGGAAGATGGAGAAATTTAATCAAGTACGTAATTTAAAATAGGAGCAAATACTGAAATCCAGGAATTTTCTTTTTCATATGTCTTACTAATGAGCACTCATATATTGTAGTACTATACTGGCAATCTGTTGCAGTTATCGTTTGCTGTATACAAACTACATCAAAAGTTAGCGGTCTATAACAACAATTTTAATGTCATTACCTGCTAATTTTAGTATTTGTGTCAGTTCTTTGTTGTTTATTGTTTGTTTTATTTATTTTGATCCTCATTATGGGTATTGTTTTCCTGCTTCTGTACTTACCTGGTAATTTTGTTTTCTAGATTCCAGACAGTGTGTATTTTACCTTGTTCAGTTCTAAATATTTTTATATTCCTTAAAATAATTTTTAACTTTATTCTGGGATGCAGTTAAGTTACTTGCAAACAGCTTGATCCTTTCTTGTTTTGCTTTTATGTGGGACTAGAGCCCTGCTCAGTCAAGAACTAATTATTTTCTGTTAAGGCAAAATCCTGTATACTGTACCTAAATGTTCTGTGAATCATGAGATTTTTCCAGTCTGGATGGTGAGAAGAGGCATCCAAGGGGATCTTCTACAGATCTCCGTTTTTCTTCCTATGTGCAGTTCTCGCTTTGTCAGTACTCTGTCCTGCGAATTCTCATTGCCTTATCTCCCTGGATATCAACTCCATCTCCTCACCTCAGGAATTCCACTGGGCTCTGCCTGGTTTCACCTTTCCTGTACCATAGCCTTGAACTTCCTTAAGGCGGTAAGCTGAGGCAATTGTAAGGGTCACCTCATTTGTTTGCTGCTCCTCAAAGATGACTATTTTCTTTGCCTGTTGCACAGTGTCTTGAGAACCAGTGTTTCATATATATTATCCATTTTCTGCTTGCTTTAGGCTGGGAAATGAACCCAATCTTTGCTACTTCATCTAGGCTGGTAGTGGAAGTATGATAGTTGTCTTAGGCTGGGTTCTCTGGAGAAGCAAAAACAGTAAAGCATATAAATATATATAGAGAGAGAGATTTTTAATCAATGAAACAGGTCACGTGATTGTAGAGGCTAGAATGTCCCAAGTCCGTGGATCAGGGTAGAGGCCTCTCCCGAATCACACAGCCACAGAAGCTGGCGAGCCCAAGATCAGCAGGTCAGAGAGCAGGGCTCCCGCTCACAGGCTGTGAAGGTTGACAAATTCCAAGACCAGCAGGCAAGACCACAGGGTTTCTCCTGATTCACGTAGCTGCAAAGGCTGGCAAACCCAAGATGGGCAGGTCAGAGAGCAGGGCTCCACTTACAGGCTGTGAAGATTGATGAATCCCAAGTTTGGCAGATAAGCTGAAAGCTCAAGTCCCAAGAACTGGAGGTGAGACAACAGGAGGCAGACTCAGGATCCAGAGACAGCAAAAAACCAGAATGTCTGCTTATATTCAGATACTGTCCACACCCCCAAGTAAAATCCCTTTCATCTGATTGGCTACTCATAGTATATTCAATCATGGGAGTGATCACATTTAAACACTGAGAATCATGGCCCAGCCAAGTGGACACACAATCTTAACCATCACAGTAGTATATTATGAAGTTAAGTGTACACTTTCTATATGACCCAGCAATATTATTTTTAGACATTTACCCAAGATAAATGAAAATAAGTACACATACAAAGACTTGTACTCAAATTCTCATAGAAGTATTATTTTTAATAGCTAAAACATGTAAACACCCCTAGTGATCATCAACTAGTGACTAGATAAACAACTTGTAGTATATCTACACACAGAGTACTATTTAACAGTAATAAAAACAAACTATTGAAACATAGATAAATCTCAAAAGCAAATTCAAAATTAAAAAGTCAGTTTAAAAAATTGATCTTTGATTTTATTTAGATAAAATTTTTAAAAAGTCAAAACTTTCTTATAGAAAGCATATTAATTATAGCCTGGAGTTGGGTGATAGAGAGGTGGAATTGACTGCAGTGGACCACCTGGAAGCTTTTAAGAGAGATATAAATCTTCTGAATATAGATTTTGATAATAGTTGCAGAACTAGATATAATTTTCAAAATTCATAAAACTGTACACATATAATACATAAGTTAATTTTGTTGCATATAAATCATGCCTCAAGATACCTAGTATTAAAAACAAACCTTCAGTACACCATAACAAATTCAAAAGAATAAAAATCATACAATATGTATTTTAAGACCACAATGGAATTAAATTGAAAATCAGTAACAGAAAGATAAATGGAAATCCCAAAATTTGGAGATTAAGAAACACACTTCTAAACAGAACACAGGTTAAGGAAGAAGTCTTAAGAAAATGAAAAAAATATATATTATTGACTAAATGAAAAGGAAAATATATCTTTCCAAAATGTATGAGATGCAGCAAAATCAATGTGTAGGGAGATTTACAGTATTAAATGCATATGCTGGAAAAGAAGAAAGATCCAAAACAAATGATCTAAGCTTCCACCCTAGGAAAATGGAGAAAGAAGAGCAATTTAAGCCTAAAGCAAGCAGAAGTAAAGAAACAAACAAAAATCATAGCAGAAATCAATAAAATTGAAAACATGTAAATAGTAGTAAAATTCATCCAAAAACAAAACAAACAAACAAAAAACCTGGTTCCTTAAAAAGATCAATAAAATGTATGATACACGTCTAGCTAGGCTAAGCAAGAAAAAAAAAAGACAGATATTACTAATATCAGAAATGAAACAGAAATCGTAACTACTGATCCCATGAACTTTAAAAGGATAATAAAGAAATAGTATAAACAACTCTATGCCCACAAATTTGGTAACAGAGACAAAATGGAAAAATTATTTTATCTTTTTTTATTGTACTTTAGATGAAGGTTTACAGAAGAAGCTAGCTTCTCAATAAACAATACATATATTGTTTTATGACATTGGTTAACAACCCCATGGCATGTCAGTACTCTCCTTTCTCGACCTTGGGTTCTCTATTACCAGCTTTCCTGTCCCCTCTTGCCTTCTAGCCCTTTCCCCTTGGCTGGTGTGCCCCTTTAGTCTTGTTTTGTTTTATGGGCCTGTCTAATCATTGGCTGAAGGGGGAACCTCAGCAGTGACTTGATTAATGAGTTAAAAGGGTGTCCGGGGGCCATAGTCTCGGGTTTCTCCAGTCTC